GCGTGTGCTTTGGGGTTGTGTGGTGGGTGGGTCGATGGGTTGGTTGTTGTTCGGGGTCTCGCGTGGTAATTGTTTGGGTTTCGGTCGCGGGTTTTGGGGTGTCCGGTATGTGGTTTTGGGTTTAGATTAGATGGCTTTGGCTTTCATTGGTGTACACCACCTGCCCCCGCCCCCGTTACTGGTCGCTTTGGTGATCGCCTACTGGATGCAGTGTCCTATATATTCATTTATACCTCCTTAATGGAAATCTTATCAGATAGTCGCGGTGTTGGTCGTACTTGCTTTTGTGCGCAACAACAACTATACAACAAAGTTTACGAATCCCTTCATTTCTGAAGGTTAGATTATTGTATCGCACTATTCGTTTTACGTTTCTTTAAAAAAATAGAACGTGTGACGCACGCATCCGCATTTTTGTGTGTGTATGACTAGAGGTAAAATGGCTTAATTGGTTTTATGTATGTTTAATGTCGTCTTAAGGCGCATCTCCTTGGATAGCCACGTCCAGAAATATGTTTTCTGTCACAACGGTCTGCAAGCGTCGGTCTTGATGGCGTGAGGGGGTCTAATTTCAAAAAATATCCATCAAAATTCTCAAATTCGTTAGAGGGTGATCTAGTGTCGTTAATGACGATTTAATAGTCTAGTACATGATGTACTAGTACAGTAGTACATGCACTCACGCACGCACGCACCATCGCAAGCACCTACACACCTACGCATACCCGCCCACACGCACGCACACAGGCACGCACGCATGCAGACGCGTACGCACACAAACTTGCGCTCACTATAGGGTTCCAACTTATAGTATAACCACACAAATATCTATTATTAGACGAACAAATTGCTTTGAAACAGTTCTCATTAGCGCGCTTGTATTTTACGATTGTTAAACTTCTCAGGGAATGTCAAGTTGGGAATAGCAGCACCTAATAACGAACTAACGCCACGCGTTGGCCATACGCAGTTGAACGCTATGTTCCGGCGTGCAATGTGTGCCTTGCTGTCGTTCCTCTGCCGCGTGAGGGCGCTGCGTACGCGATACGAAATTCGCCAGCTGGGAATCTGCGGCTTATCGACAGTCACGTGACCTAGAAAGATGCAGAAGTCTCGCGCCGTGATGCTGCAGAGTGAGTGAGTACACGCGATGAGAATCTGCGCTAGGCAACGGTGACGAATTCGTGCGCGGTGCATTTCGTGAATACCGAGCGAACCCTACTTAAAACGTGATGTGCTGTGTCTCCGTGCAAAGTCAGGATATCACAATTTCATTGCTCAAGTAGCCTCACGCGGAAGGAAGCTTTCTCTGTTTTTAAAAGACTATTTTTACATAAAGGTAAGTAGTTGCAGCATCATAGGTGCAGGGAAGTGCTCAGTTCGTTCGCCCACAGCGTATATTATGTGAGAGTGTGAGGAGAGTCATCTTAATTATCATGTGTCGCTCTATCTTAATCGCCATTAAAATCAATCGATCATAAATTTATCACCATCTAGCCAGAGCGGAAGACTTTAATGCAACAATTCGACATTAAAGGGACTAATAACTCGTCCTTGTAGTTATAATTATCAAGGGTTGCCCCATAATCGATTCAATAAAACAATTCGATGAAGCAATGCGATCGTAAATACATCAATATATAGCCATACTAGTAAACCTCGATGCAACAATGAAATAATTATTATAACTCGTCCTGATCAATTGCCGCTCGTTAGAGAAACCAACGTTGCCCCGTTTCAAAGCTCGCGTAAAATGACCGTTTTGAATAATTCTGCATCATCTTATACTAAAGTTGTTTTGCGAACTTATTTACGATTACCCATAACGATGGATGTGATAAAAATAGGGTGGAAGGGGAATCCTCCCCGCTAGATGTGAGATAGGTCACGCGCGTACATTACGCTATCCCTCCATTGGAGTGATCTGCCGGTATTTATAGGGCGATAGTCGCGCGACAAGGGTATAAGCTTTCGCGTGAGACGCGCGGGAAGGCAGGGCGGGGGAAGCGTGTCAGCTTTCGCGTGTGTCAGCTAGCTAGCCAACCGCTTACGATCATGTAGCGCGCACGTCTGTCCAGCGCCGGGACAGCTGGCTTCGTAAATGCTGGCCGGCTACAGCGAACTGTTAAACACACTCGTACAGTCGAAGCCGAGTGTAAGGCCCACTCGGGGAAATTCCGAAAGTGTACCGTGTAGGCAGGTGACCGTTCTATAGAGGTCGTTACCCGTGTAGACAGGTGACCGTTCTATAGAGGT